ACCCTACGCCCACACAACTGGTGGCCGACGTGAAGGGTAAGGCGCGGGACGTGTTGCTCGCCGAACGGGTGGCTCTTAATGTGTTGGCCCGATGCTCGGGTGTGGCCACTCAGGCCCGGCGGGTACGGGCGGCTGTCGATCGGGTCGGTTGGAAGGGCACAATCGCCGGCACCCGTAAGACAACCCCTGGCTTTCGGGTGGTGGAGAAGTACGGGTTGGTTGTGGGCGGTGTGAGTGGGCACAGGTATGACTTGTCTCATATGGTGATGCTTAAGGACAATCACGTGGTGATTAGCGGATCGGTGGCCGCGGCGGTTGGCGCTGTCCGTCAGGTGCGGGACTTTGCCTCCAAGATAGAGGTCGAGTGCAGAAACCTGGAGGAGGCCCAGGAGGCGGCCCGACTGGGGGTCGATGTGATAATGTTGGATAATTTTGATCCCGAGGGGTTGGAAGCATCGGCCCGTATACTGAAGCATAACTTCCCGGATGTGTTGATTGAGTCGAGCGGTGGCGTGACTGTGGATACTGTGGCTGATTATGCTAAAGAATGGGTGGATATTATATCGTTGAGTCAATTGGTTCAGGGCTACCCTGTCGTCGATTTCTCTATGAAAGTTGTGCCACAAAAACAATAATTTATTTATTAAAATATATAACTTTATTAGATTTGAATTAATCTTAATTTACTCTACTTTATGTGTTAAAGATTGATAAAAAAAATTGATTTTGATAGTTATTATTTTAATTAATATTCTAATTTTTATTTTTATAAAATAAACATTTAAACTAAAAAACATTACAAAAAAAACATTATTATAACTTTACAAAATTTTAATAAAATATATAAACAAATAGGTAAACTAATTAGAATTGTGAATACATAAATGAGCTTTTAATTGATTGTAAAATAATACATGAGTGAAACAATATACTGCATAATACACCAGTGACAATATGTATTGACAGCACCGCTGAAACCTGTGCCACAGGTCCTGTTATATTAAAATGTTGGCCCGTTTCCTGGAATTAATAAATAAATAAATAATTTATTAAAAATAATTTTATCTTATACAATATAAAAACAATATTACAATTACCTGATCAGTAATATTATCAGTTATAATATTATCAGTAATATTATCATTAGTTATAAAACACTGTTCGGCAAAAGGTGTCATATAGTCGGCTAAAGAGCACTGAAAATAAACAATATATAAATTAACGATATTTTGCGACAAAATAATCCGCGTTTGCATTACTTGTTTTGAGAGATGTTTGCCCTCAGGTGTGAAACAATACATGGGTTGACCGGAAATGTTAAACCATAACAAATATCCGGACTCATCGTACAACTGATAATCGATGGCCGACTCCAAGTGTGTCAACAAACCATAGTCTGATAATTGCTGGACAAACACCGGGTCCTTACAATATATATCCGTAATGTTTTTACACCACTCTTTATTAATTAAATTAATACGTGGTAACTTTTCTCTAGTGATATAATTAGCTGAGATGTTAAGTGCGGTGATTGCACCCGCACTCCTGTCCACAACGAATATGAATAATTCAATATAACGCAAACTCCATGCGTTTGAGGTTAGTATAACTGGTTTATCATTCAAACATATGGTATCTGAATTGAACCACTTATCCATCATAGATATATGACACTTGATTTGAAAGCACCATGTTAAACTTGATAATTGCTGTGAAATGTAGTTGGCGTAACATTTATACATATAGTAAATCTGTGTACTGTTTTCGTATGGCGAAAAATAGCCCTCAAAAATTATATCGTCCTTATTGTCGGTATATGTTTGTAATCCTTTAATAATAACCCGATGTGTTGTGTCAGTTCGCTCTAACCCAAAGTCCATTTCCCGTCCCATTCCTGTGTATAACTTGTATGTAGAGACCACTCGACGCCTGTCATCCCTATACCAGTGTCGATACATATGGACACCACTGTAGGTGTCATTGATCTTGAAATGTTGACACGTTTTCTAATAGTTTATAAACAATAGTAATTATCATAATTAGCGTGTTATATAATATTGAACTCTTATTCGATATAATATATCACTAATTATCTTATTATTACCTCATCTGCCATTATATTTAAAGTTTTAAAACAATGATTTGCAAACGGTATCATATTATCAGCTAAAGAGCACTGAAAATAAATAAATTATAAGTTGTTTTAAATAACGATTTGTAAATGTATTAATTTATAATTTTATTTATTACTTGTTTGGACAGACGTTTGCCTTCAGGTGTGAAGCAATACATGGGTCGGCCGTTGATATTAAACCATAGCATATGTCCCCTCATATCGGGTCTAATATCATAATCAACGATAGCCTCTAACTGTGCCTTCAAATCCACGGACAGCATATATAAAAATAAAGGCGTCCCATAGGAATGCCAATCGCACATGGTTGCATCGGTACAAATATCAAAATAACCTTTCCATTCATAATAACCTTGCCAAAAACCAGTGCGATAAAATCTAACCCTGATCACTTGGCCTATCAGTGTATTGGTATCCAACACATGCATATAACTATCAGGATGGTCTTCTAAATGTTTGCGAGTACTAACGATCGGGCTAAAAATAACGCCATATCCGTTGAATTGTGCGCTCGACGTAAATATTTGCCTATCATTAAGAATTTTGCTTTAATATAAAAATAATTTTTAACCACGATTCATATATGAAGAATGTGGTTTATAGGATTATTCTGCCCTCAGGTGTG